GGGGGGGGGTTGAAATTTTGGAAATAATTGACCTTTTAACGACAAAGAACACTTCCAACTAGTTTTTCTCTTTGGCACAAATGAATTTTTTTATTATTAAAGATAGCCTTCTGATATTCTATATGTGCTTAACTCCAGATTTATAAGAAGACCTAAATTATACTGATTCCTAAATTCTAAGCTTTCTTTTCTTCGGGAGGATGGTCAAGGATAAGATTTAAAGAAAAACACAGAAAAATCTAATACTTAGGATTGTTTGCCAAGTGGAGAGTCCATTTTGGCAGTCTTAACTGGTTGCAATTTTGTCTTTTAGTCATTAAAAAAATTTTTTTTAAGTTTATGTTGTAATAATTCAGAGACATCTATTTCGACAATTTTGATGTACTTCCTTGAGTATTTTACTACATTTAAAAAATATAGTTGAGTCCGGCCGAGCGTGGCTCAGCGGTTGAGCATAGACCTAGGATCGAGGCGATCAGGGTTTGATTCCCGGTCAGGGCACATGCCCAGGTTGCAGGCTGCAGCCGATCAATGACTCTCTCATCATTGATGTTTCTATCTCTCTCTCTCCCTCTCCTTTCCTCTCCCTGAAATCAATAATGATATATTTAAAAAAAATAAAAAATATAGTTGAATTTATGTAATACTTAAATTTTGTATCTTTTTCACTTCATTTTCTCACATTAAGTTCTTTATTAACATTTTTCATGTCAAGTTTAGTGGGTGGTTTTTTTCATAAGCTTGCTTTTGTGAATTTGACTTGAAATGTTTCCATTCATTTTGTGCTTTTTTTTGGACCACAGATGAAACAAGATTTATGCACAGCATGAAATAGATCTTTTCATTTTAATTACCTGTTATTTGTAGTTATTGTCATGTGAAAAACAAACTTCTGTTTTACTACATTTACACAGTTCAAAAGAGGCTTGAACTCTAAGATGCTGTTTATTAAAAAAATTAAGACAGTAGAAATACTATCAGTTACTTATTTTCTTTTCAGGATAAAATGCAGGTTGACCAAGAAGAAGGTCTCCAAAAATGTCATGCTGAGCACACCCCAGAAGAGGAAATTGATTATACAGGAACCAAAACAAAGGTTAGTTTTAGTATTTCTATGGTTGTGTCTTTTTGGGATTGATAATCCAAGTTAATGTATTTATAATGCATGCTTTTAATATATATATTTTATTTTTTATTCAGAATATTACAGCTGTCCCATTTTTCTCCCTATTGACCCCTTCCATCCCACACCCACTCCCCTCCCCAGGTCTTCACCACACTATTTTCTGTGTCCATGGGTTATGCTACACTTGATATTTTTAATCTTATTACCATGGAAACATAGAAAGCATTAACTAGAATAAATACATTTCAAAGACTTATAATATAGAGGATGCTTTGAAGAATGAACTTTGATAATACTATAGGTAATATTAACTTTTTAATAGGAAGAAAAATGTGTTTTTTGGTAACTTCTTTTCTCATTAAAAATCATACAATCTCAGAGAAAACAAAAAATGGAATAACCAAATGAAGAAAACTTAAGTTAGCAGTAACCCTGCACCTCAAAGTTAACTACTATAAGCATTTGGCTACATAGTATAAAATATTTTTCTTTGTGCAAAACCAAATATTTTTGAAAGTAAAAATGCAAAGGATAAGTAAGAGTCATTGTTTTACTAAGACATCATTGTCATTGTCATGCTAAGCAAGATAATTCAAACAGAAAAAGGCAAGAACCATATGATTTCACTTATATGTGGGATATAAAACTGAAAGTAGCAAATGAACAGACAAGACAGACAAAACTCACAGACAACAGTATGGTGGTTTCCCGGGGGGGGGGGTATTGAAGTTTAAAGGGGTTCAAATATTTGGTGACAGAAGATGTGACATTGTGTGGTGGGTGCATTATGCAATGTACAGATGATATACCATAGAAATTACACTTAAAGCCTATATAATCTTATTAACCAATGTCACAGCAGTAAATTTAATTTTTTAAAATGACATCATTGCTGATAAAAGAAGGGAGAGACCTTACCCCAGTCACCCAGATAAATGTGGCTACAGCTCTAAACTGTCATCTTCAACACAGTTTTTCTAACCTGAACAGAATTTAATCTGTGTTGGTTAGCCATGTAAATTTTTTCCAGAGGTTATAAAGGTAAAGTTTTAACTAGTCTTAGGCTCTTACATAATTTAAAACCTGAAACCTTTTTTCTAAATTTTTAATTTTACCTAATGTTTTTTGCTTTTGTTTAATAGCTTTATTAAGGTACTATTTACATACCATACAAGTCACCCATTTAAGTTTACAATTCAATGGCTTTTAATATACTCAGATTTTTGCAACCATTCTCACAATCAATTTTACATTTTCATCATCCCAGAGAGAAGCCCTGAACCCATTAGCAGTAACTCCCTATTTTTCCCCAGCCCTCTTCCTGCCAGCCCTAGGCAAGCACTGCTTTCTGTCTTTATAGATTTGCCTATTCTGGACTGCTTCTTCCACTAATGTTTTCAAGATTCATCCAGGATGTATCAGTACTTCATTCCTTTTTATAGCTGAATAATACTGCATTGTATGAATGCATACCACATTTTATTTATCTGTTCATCAGCTAATGGACATTTAGATTGTTTCCACTTTTTGACTATTTTGAGTAATGCTATTATGAACAATCATGTACAAGTTTTTGTGTGGATGTATATTTTCACTCTTCTTGGTTATGTACCTAGGACTGGAATTGCTGGGCTATATGGTATCTCTTTATTTTTTGAGGAACTGCCTGTTTGCCAAATTGGCTCTAATATTTTACAATCTTGCCAGCAATGAATAAAGGTTCCAAGTTCTCCACATCCTCATCAATTCCTGTCATTTTCCATTTTTTATATTACAGCCATCCTAGTGGATGTGAAGTAGCATCGCCTTATGGTTTTAATTTGCATTTCCAACCCAATATATTTTTTTCAAGTATGTTTTTATTGATTTTTAGAGAGAGAGGAAGGAAGGGAAAGGGATAGAGAGAAACATCAAAGAGAGAGAAATATCATCAGTCGGCTGCCTCCTGCACTTTCCCTACTGGGGATCAAGCCTGAAACCCAGGCATGTGTCCTGACCGGGAATTGAACCTTAACCTTCAGGTTCATAGGTCAACACTCAGCCACTGAGCCATGTGGGCCGGGCCAGCCTAATATTTTTTATGTAAAAAGACTTAGCATACACAGAGTATAAAATACTATCAGCATTAAAGTAATATTTTTAAATAAAGTATAGTAGATAAGTTTTATTTCACTTTTTCGTTTCATCTGAAATTACTCTTAAACCTATTTTTAAACTAGTTTTAGAAATTTACATTATTACCCTCTTGCATTTCTTTTGCAGTCAGCCTCCTTGGACAAACAAGACCGATTAAACCAGACCATTAAAAAAGGAAAAGTCAAGAGTATTGATCTACCTATCCAGAGCAGCCTGTGCCGACAACTGGGCCAAGATGTTCTTAATAGTTACATTGAAAATGAGGTATATAAATCTCAGTTATGTTGAAATAAGTGGTAGTGTATTCTGAGATTTTTGTAGAAGTCAGTGATTATCCTCCAAAGGAATCATTAAATAGATCATTGAACTACTTTATTTTCAAGAAAATATTGAGCTGTGTTACTATCATGTACCAGGGTAGTTTTTGTCTTAGTTATATGAAAAACATTATTATCTCCATTATAGAGGAAGACTAGTCCAATAGTAATGATTCGTACCCCCTTTTACTCTGTTTTTAACGGTAACACCCAGCAGACATCTTACGGGGAAGTATTCGCAGCTCCCCTCTTCTAATATGTAGTCCTAATGCGGGTCTATTAAAAATACTTTCTGACTTCCACTTAACACTTTGTAAAGTCTGTTGTCATTCTTGAAATTTACCTTACAAGTCTAAATGTTTAATTTTAGTCTCCTGAAGAGTTTTGTTTCTTTACCAATAGTTATATAAGAAGTAACTTATTTTTATTTTTAAAATTTATATTTAAGTAGTGATTCCTAGTTTCTACAGGCTTGGCTGGCATTAAAGAAGGTCAGTTTCTTTGAAGCGCCCCAGTAGTCTTCCATCTGCTACACATGATTCTAGGAAATTTCTTCAAGAGATTTTGACTTTACAGTCCATGCTCCTTTTAGTACCTACCTATATCACTATTCATTAATTATTGAAGACTGCATTTTATGAGAAGCAAGCATTCCTGCAGACCCTGAATAATTCAGAATTTGTATGTTTTGAGATGAATTTTCCCAAAGGAATGATTGTGGGGAAGTGCAATTACGGCAAATGTTGGGTATAAAATTATTTCTAAGTTTTGAAGTGTCTCACTGTTTTAAATTCACAAATGTCAGTACACTGGTCTTGTGTTTAAAATAGTGTTTTTGTTAAAGTGAAAGTTTTGTTCGTTATTACAATCCCCATATTATGTTTTTTCCTTTTTATTACAATACTAATAATTTTTGCTAACATCTTAAACACTTTGATGTCTTATTTAATCCTTAAAACAATCCTGTGACATGTAGGTACTGCTAGAGGACTACATTTTACAGATGAGGGAACAGGTATAGGTAGACTGAATCACCCAAGGTCAGAGAGTAACCTTTCATTTGAATCCAGGTAGTCTGTCTCCAAAGCTCAAGATCATAACCACTATATTATATTCCTTCCCAGGCTAACATTTTTTTCAGCACCAGTTATGTGCTAGGCACTGGACTAAATATTTTCCATAGACTATGTCAATTTTATTAACTCTATGAGCTAGATAGAAGTATGCTCTCTTTTGGTATAAGAAAACAGGCTGAGAGCTTAGGTGACTTTTCTGAGATCTCAACACTAATAAATGGGGAATGTAGAATTTGAATCTGAGTATGTACAATGACATGGTCTATGTGTTTTTTGTGTTTTTTAAAATAAATTCTAATCCACTTTCTGTCTCTATGAATTGGCCTATTGTAGATTAATGTAATCATACAATATTTGTCCTTCTGTGTGACTTACTACACTTAGCAAATGTTTTCAAGGTTTTATCCATGTTGCAACATGTATCAGAACTGTTATAGAATAATATTCTATTGTGTATATGTATATTTTATTTATCCATTCATCTGTTTATGGACAATTGAGTTGTTTCCACCTTTTGGCTGTTATGAATATTTGTATGTAACACTGACTTACAAATATCTGAGTTCCTGCTTTCAGTTCCTTTGGATATATACCTAGTAGTGAAATTGCTGGGTCATATTGTAATTCTTTGTTAGCTTTTTGAGGAACCACCAAACTGTTTTCTATCTCAGCAGTAATTTTTACATTCCCAACAGCAATGTACAAGTGTTTCAAATTCTGCACATCCTCACCAAAAATTGTCTTTTGTTTATTTTTAAGTCATCCTAGTAGGTATGAAGTGATATTTTCATTGTGGTTTTCGTTAGCATATCCCTAACTCCCTAATGTTCTTAATGGCAACTAATCTGAAACTTTTTGAATAGGGGAAAATGATAATGCAAGATAAGTTGGAGAAAGAAAGAAATGATGCTAAGAATGCTGTTGAAGAATATGTGTACGATTTTAGAGACAAGCTGGGCACTGTCTATGAAAAATTCATCACTCAAGAAGTAAGTCTAGCCCTGGCTGGGTAGCACAGTTGGTTGGAGTGTGCAGTACACCAGAAGGTTGGGGTTTGATTCCCTGTCAGGGCACATACCTAAGGTTGCAGGTTTGATCCCCGGTCAGGACGTGTACGGGAGGCAACCAATCACTGTTTCTCTCATGTCAATGTTTCTCTCTCTCCCGTCCTCTCTCTCTCAAAATCAATAAAAACATATCCTCAGGTGAGGATTTTAAAAAAAGTAAGTCTAAATTTTATAGTTTTTTATTAGAGCTACTTATTTGCTTAAGACTGCTAATACAAATTATGTAAGTAAATGTATTAAATGTGTTATTGTCAGTCTTCTTGAGCACATTTAGGAATTGTTCTTAGTTATTTTTCCAATTTGCAGAAGTATGGTGAAGAACATGTTTATGAATAAAAGTCAGAAAAATACAAAATTTAATTCTTTATACTTGAAAACATTGTGTCCTTCACTGGACTTTTATTTTTAAGGAGAGCATTGTTAATCAGTATCTCTTAAATGTATATCTAGGACTTGAATAAACTGACTGCAGTATTAGAAGACACAGAAAATTGGCTTTATGAAGAAGGAGAGGACCAACCCAAGCAAGTTTATGTGGATAAGCTTCAAGAACTAAAGGTAAATCTTTAAAAGTCCATGTTAGTGTTAAATAGAACATTAAGTTTTCCTAAAAATTGGTTGTAAGAGCACAGTGTATTTTTTTCATAAATATGTAAGGCAGATATATATTTTCTCATAAATATGTAAGGCAGATATGTGTAACAGGAAATGTTCTTTCTCATTTAAAAAGCATTTTGAGAAGTGAGTAATGCTACATGTAATTGAAATCAAATAATGATAATCATATTTGTCTATCGTGATATTCAGATATAAATATTTAGATGACCAGAGTGTTGGTATTACTTTAACAAGCCATATATGTCTGAGATGTCATTAAGAAGTGATTTGTCAACCTGACCCCTTCTTATCAGAGGAGTCACACTTCCTCAGCTTCTCTCCCCCTTCACTGATCTGATTTTGAGGGGTAATACACTGCCTGCTCTTTTGTATTTTCATATTGTAACTGATGGGGACATCTGGTCAGTGAAGAACTTCAAAAATAGCACCCCTGCTCTTGAATGTCCTTTTGCAAAGAAATAAGGAGTTGTGATCACTGGGTTCCCTTTTTCTAGGTCAATGATACGATTTTAAGAAAAGACCACTATTGATCCTTTCCTCCTGCTTACTACCCACCTCTCACCCTCCCCTAAAAAAATAGTTTAATTAGAAATTTAGATTGGGAGGATGACAGGGAATTTTAGTCTTTCCTTCTTAGTGTAGATCATAGCAATGCTTAAATGTGTACATGAATTACCTGGGGCTCTTACTGAAATGCAGATTATCAGATTATGATTCAGCATATTGAGGTGGGCCCATGATTCTGCAGTTTTAACAAGCTTCTAAGAGATTTTGATGTAGCTGGTCCCTGAACCGTTCTTTTGAGTAGCAAGGGAATATATAGATGCCAAATGATGGCATTAATAAGGATTTCTAGAATATGGGGAAAAAGCAGCCTGTTTGCTGGGGAAGGGGGGGCAAAAGATGTTAATATCTTGCAACAATTACTCATGCCAATAAATTACTTCCAAAGGGAATAATTAGAAAGCAACTAGAAAACCTAAGCTTATAACAGCAATACTAGGCCTTATCATTTTATCTTCTTGATGGTTTTACTCCCTATCTCTCTACGAGAATGCAGGTATTTTGGGCCATAGGAACAGTCAGGCAGCTAAAGCCAATAGAAATAACTGGGAAAGCCCAGAATCGCCCCAAATGGATATTTTGCCTGAAATGTATAAGAAACCATAAAAATGAATGTTACAGAAGTTTTTATAGGTTTTACTATTGTTTGGAGATGGCTTTTAGGAATTAAAAATGCTGTACTTCTCTTCAAAAACATTTGCAATAAAAAGTATGATGTAAATAGACTAAATGCAGTATGGTATGCTGGAACAGAAAAAGATGAAGTCTGAATAAAGTCAGGGGTTCAGTTAATAATAATGCACTAGGGTTGGTTTCTTAGTTTTGACAAATGTGCCTTGCTGGTATAAGATATTAACATTAGAGAAAAGTGATGAGAGGTACTTAGCTGTCTCTTTTATTTCCTCTGTAACTTTTCTGAACATCTAAAATAAGCTGACTTTTATTTAAGTATGTAAAGAATTTGAAAGAAAATGGTTATTCTTTCTTCTAATGCATCCCCCTTCTCAAAGTTATAGAGGCTGTTTTAACATTTAGAAATTCCCCATTCCAGGGCCCAAAGGTTCATTTTTTTTTAAAGCACTACATTTATAATACAGTAAACATTTTTAATGTAATGCGTAAACATAATATACATAATATTCAGTGTCTTCTGTTAAAGAGTTTTTTCTGATGCATATATGCATAACCCATGAGGACAGACAATAGCTTGGGGGAGACCTAAGATGGGGTGGCAGTTGGGTGGAGGGGGGCAAAAAGGGAGAAAATGGGAGACATCCGTAATACTGTCAACAATAAAATTAAAATAAAAAATATTTTTTAAAAAGTTTTTTCTATTAGTAACTTTTTCTTTTAAAAAAAAATTTCTTATGTTAACAGAAATATGGCCAACCTATTCAAATGAGATACATGGAACATGAAGAGAGACCAAAAGCTTTAGCTGACTTGGGAAAAAAGATCCAACTTGTCATGAAAGTGATAGAAGCATACAGAAACAAGGTATTGAATTCATAAAGGCAACTGATGATTATGACATGTGTCGTACATGGTGAGCATGGGGCAAATCTGAAAGTTCTCAGCTACAAAGCTGTAACAGTTGTTGCTACCAAATTTTAGAGATATTGTGCACCAGACTTGAAACTTTTTTATATGAGAATTATCAGTAAAACAATACTACTGCATGTAAAATACAGTGCAGGTATGTGTAATTTTTTAAAATTCCCTAAAACCACATTATAAATGATCCAGTGACCAAATCCACTATTGATCATTATTGATACAATGAGAGGGTTTCTTTGACCTTTTTTATTGCAGGCCTTTCTGAGACTGGACTCTGCTAGTCTTTAGTTTGTCGTGTGGCCTCTTTTTCTTTTAGTTTCTCTGTCTTCCATTCTGTTAGTCATTTGCAATGCCCTGTACCCATTGTTCTTTTATATACATACCCAAATCTATATTGCTACCATTGACCTTGCCACTGATTTTAAGCTTCAGAAATTTAGTTATTTAAATGATATATCTCCACTTGGATATAATAATAAGATTTAACAAAATTAAGCTTATCCTTTTTTTCCTCTAAACCAGACGTTAGCCAGCTTTTTCTTTAAATAAATATTTTAGGCTTTGCAGGCCTTATCTCTATACAGCTATTTAACTCTGCATAGTAGTGCAAAAGCAACCATATATGATATGTAAGTGAATGAGCATGGCTGTGTTCCAAAGTAACTTTATTAAAACACAGATGGCAGGTTGGATTTGGCCTACAGGACAAGTTTGCTGACTCCTACTTTAAATATTCAGCTCTGGCCAGTGTGGCTCACTGATTAGAGTATCATCCTGGGCACTGAAGGGTCTCAGGTTCAATTCCTGGTCAGGGCACATACCCAGGTTTGATCCCATCAGGTACTGGAGGCAACCGATCAGTGTTTTTCTCTCTCTCTCCCTTCCTCTCTCTCTAGAATCAATTAAAAAAACACATATCCTCAGGTAAGGATTAAAAAAAAATTAAATATTCACTGTAATTCCCCCAATTTTTATCGTTGCCATTACATTGAACTTAAGTTGCAGTTAAAACTGTATCAGTGGGCAGGAGAGGCTAACTAGCACCAGAAAGATTTAGGCAAAGTATCATAATAATAGCTTATGTTGATCAAGCACTTAGTGAATTTGAAGCATTTTTATATGGATTATCTCTTTCATTCTCACAAGTATGTATAAGAAAACTGCAGTGTTTAAGCAGCTTGTCAAGGATTACACTGGCAGTAACTGGTGGGGTCAAGATTAAAACCTAAGCAGTTCGAAGTTACCATACAAACTCTTAACTGTGGTGCTTTTCACTACACAATGTGGAAAGAGGTTACTAATTATAAAAGAAGATTTATGAAATTTATAAAATAAGATTGCAATCCAGGTCACGTAGAAGACGACTACATGTACTGACTATGAATGTGCATGCCAGTGTCAGTGTCCTCATTGTCCATACAGGTACAAAGAGAACATAAGATGATGGAAAGGTGAGGAGCAGCAAGCAGACAAGTGAAAACACCAAGACTATGTCAAATGTGGTATTGGAGACCCTGTGCAATTACTATGGCCCAGTGTGCCCAGGCTTTCGCAGTCTTCTTGAGCATACAGGTTTAAGATTTTATCCAAAGCAAGAGAGACTTCACTTATGTTATTTTGAATTTTTATCATGTGCCAGGCTCCCTTCAAGGTGCTGCAACTACAGCATCAAACAAAACATTGAACCTTACACTTTAGTGGGGAAAGGTAGATAATAAGTCATTGTAAAGTAGTCAGATGCTAATAAAGGGCTACGGAAAAAGTAAGGGACTGCCAGAGGTGGAGATTTGTCAGAAGGGCAGACTGCTAATAAGATGAGATACACATGAGGGGAGAACTGAAGGAGGTGAGAGCTCAGGATGTATGATAACTGTAAGAAGAAAGTTCTAGAAAAAGGGAATAGTGGTTACAAAACCTTGAGGGGAGAACAGCAAGGACTCCAGTGTGGCTTAAAACAGTGGTGGGGGTGGGTTAGCAGTTGCCATATTATAGAGGGCCTAGTGGGCCATTAGAAAAGTTTGACTTTTCCTCTCAGAATAGGAATCGATTGCAGGTTTTGAGCATAAAAGTAATATGATTTATTCTTTAAAGGATATGTAAGCAGAGAGACTAGTGAAGGCATTATTAGAATAATACAGGCAAGAAGTGATGGGAGGCTTGACCCTGGATAGAGGAGGGGGAAGAAGGGGTTGGATTTTTGCTGCATACATTTGAAGATGATCTGCTGATAGATTTTATATTAATATAACATGAAGAGGAGTCCAAAATGACTCAAAGGATTTTGGCCTGGAAGGATGAAGTTGGGGAAAACTGGAAAGAGTAGATAGGGAGGCTATCAGGAATTTGAAACGTTGCTCGTTACTTCAAAGTTTACAAATAGAAATTCAAGTTGGAAGTTGGATATAGAGTTGGGGTTTCAGGGAAGAGGTTCGAGGCTAGAGTTCTTTTTAAAGCATGTAGATGGAGCATGAATGGGGAGGAACTTAAGAAACGATCCATGAGGTTGGAAGGAATTCAGGAAAAAGGGGGGACCCAGAAACTGAGTCAAAGATGATGGATGCATAATTTGTAATGATACAAGCAGAAAGATGGGTCGAGCGAGTATCTGATGGAGCATTACTATCCTCTCAGTTCTTTGGCTCTGTAGTGTTCTTTCATTCTCTTTCCCTTTATTCCATGTCCAATCTATGATTCATCAGGAGATTCTCTTTCCATATGTTGCATTGCCATTTTTTTTCTGGTTCTGTGGCTAACATTCTAAACCATGGCTTCTTATATTGTCTTCTATGTGTGGCAACTGCAGTTATCTTTTTCAGAGAGCATTTTATTATGTAATCCCCCTTATCAACAACTTACTATATTGTTTTGTTGTATATTCAGAATTTTCTCTTTAGTTTGCTCTGTGCCTGCTTCCCTTATTTCTCTTTAATCTTTAGCAAATCCAATTCCATGCAGCAGCTTTCTTGGCTAAGTACCTTTCCTTGAATATTCACCACTAGTCATTCTTTTTCAAACATGAATCCTTCAGAAAGCCTTTCAAGAACCCATACTGATTGTTTCTTTCTCCCAGTCTCTTCAATTCTATTTAACGTGTATGTGGCTTCTTCACATGGGTATATGCAAGGTATACATTCAATAAGAGTGTGAATCTTTTAAGTAGAAATTATTAATAAAATTTAGTGCCTGGCCAGGTGTGGCTCAGCGGCTGAGCATCGACCTAGGATCCAGGCAATCAGGGTTCGATTCCCGGTCAGGGCACATGCCCGAGTTGTGGGCTCAATCAGTGACTCTCTCATCATTGATGTTTCTATTTCTCTCTGTCCCTCTCCTTTCCTCTCTCTGAAATCAATAAAGATATATTTTTTTAAAATAAATAAATAAAATTTACTTACTAAAAAATCTGTTCCATTAAGTAAAGATTTTTTTTAATAGGATGAAAGATATGATCATTTGGATCCTGCTGAAATGGAAAAAGTTGAAAAATATATCAGTGAAGCCATGAGTTGGCTGAACAGTAAAATGAATGCACAGAATAAACTAAGTCTCACTCAAGATCCTGTGGTGAAAGTTTCAGAAATAGTCGCAAAATCAAAGGTAAGAAACTTTAAAATTCTCTTTTAAGGGGTTCCAGCACTAAAAGTTTTTAATGGGAGCCATAATTTTTTATTTTGGGAAAAAAAGATTCTAGGTAGGACATCTCTGTGGGACATCTCTATTCCTTGATTTGATTAGTCACATACACAAGGCTGTTTTAAAGATTTTAAGGGTAATAAATAATGAAATAAAGCAGTTTGACAACTTTTGACTGTCAAATATTTATGTCAGACTTTTCTGGATTGGATAATACTTCTAAGTCTCCATTGTAAAACTTGGCAGTATAGGTTTGTCTTTGATATAATTCAAAATGTGTTTAATTATATGGTAAAATCTTATTTCTGATATAAAGTTTCCAGTCTAAAAACATTACTCATGGAAATGTCAGTTTATCATAGAAAACATGAAAAATAGGGGACAAACTTTTTAATAAAGATCAGCATCAAAGTAGGAATATGAATAAAGACATTGCATAAGCAGCTGACAAAAGAATAAATACAAAAAAATATGGAAAATACAAAAAGTATTGTTCATCCTCATCACTAATCTACAAAATGCAAATCTCTCTTTTCACCCATCTGATTTGTGTGTTTACATTTATAATCTTGCCATGGTTGTCAAGGGTGTGAAGAAATGGGTGTTTTCCCTGCACAACTTGGTTAAATTTGTTACAGCTTTTCTAGGACATTATATCAGAATATGCACAGAAATTTAAAGTGAGTAGGCCCTTTAACCCAGAAATCACATTTGTAGGAATTCATCCTAAAATCATTGTACAGGTATATGCAGATTAAATACCTTTGTTTATAATAGCAAAAAATTGGAAACACCTACAATACCTATCAGCAAGCAAATCAATGAATAAATTGATACATCCATATAACACATTGTAGTCACTACGTATTTTATATAGAGAGATATATCTATTTAGATATAAAGATGTGTACAACATATTGAGAAACAAAAGATTACAAAATATAAAGTTATCTCACTGTATAAATTAGTGTGTTAATAGATTGATATATTTGTATATATGTGTATGCCTGGACATTCATCTAGAAGGATCATCACCAAAGTGTTAATATCTGTAGGAGAGGGAATTTCAGGTGATTTTTTTCATCTAGTTCAGTATGTTTTTAGGTATCTGATTTTTAACGGAAAAATATTTTTAATCAAATAGAGCACTAAAAATATTTTCCTTTTGAGAAAGTTTTGCAAGGAAGCTATAATTTACTCCTCATCAAATGAAGTGCAAAGTGAGTTGAAAGCAGTTTGCCATTAAAACATTCCCCCAGGATGTCACTTTCTCTCTTTCTATCCCTATCCCAATCTCTGTGACACAAGTCCTGAAAAGATTTTAATGAGCTTTTTTTTTCCTATGTAAAAAAATAAAGAACAAATTAGAAATACATTGCATTTCTTCTGAATTACTAAATTGCATTTACTTTTTTTATATAATTTGGAGCCCAAAGACTAAACTCCATTTACATATTATATGTTTTCATTGATTTCAGAGAGAGGAAGGGAGAGGGAGAGAGAGAAACATCAATGATGAGAGAGAGTCATTGATTGGCTACCTCTTGCACACCCCCTACTGGGGATTGAGCCTAAAACCTGGGCATGTGCCACAACTGGGAATAGAACTGTGACTTCCTGGTTCATAGGTCAACACTCAACCACTGAGCCACGCCTGCCAGGCAGGTTGCATTTACTTTCATGGCTTATTCTCTCCAACAGAAAAGGCTACTCAGCTATTTTCTAAAAGTAAAGTTAGTATTTTTCCATGTAAATGTTGAGAAATATCAGTTCATGAAATAGGTGCTATTTGATATAATTCTCATAACAGAGCATTAGGCATAATTTAATGGAATGAATTAAAAGTTAATACCAACAGTAATTCGAAAAGATATATGCATACCTATGTATATGCAAAATACCTATTGCAGCATTTTTACAATAGCTAAAATAAAGAAGCAACTTAGGTGTCTATTGATAGGTGAATGGATAAAGATGTGGTTTATATATGCAATTGAATATTACTGAGCCATAAAAAAGAATGAAAAATTGCCATACTAGAACGTAGTATGCTAAGTGAAATAAGTCAGATGAAGACAAAATACTGTATGATTTCACTTATGTGTGCAATCTAAATAAACAAGACAAAATAGAAACAAACTCATGGATACAGAGGACAAAATTGATGGTTGCCAAAGGGAAGGATGGTGGGGGATAGGTGTAAAAGGTGAAGAAATGGGGGATAAGAGGTCCAAACTTCCAGTTATAAAATAAAGGATGTAATGTACAGCATAGAGAAAATAGTGATACCATAGTAACTTTGTATGGTGACAGATAGTTTATAGACTTACTGTGTGATCACATCATAAGGTATATAAATGTTGAATCAATCTGTTGTACACCTGAAACTAACATAATACCGTATGTCACCTATAAGAAAAAATAAATTTCAAAAAAATGTTTAAAAATTAATAAAAATTGCCCAGCCGGGTGTGGTCAGTGGTTGAGCATCGACCTAGGATCCAGGAGACTGGGGTTCGATTCCCGGTCAGGGCACATGCCCGGGTTGTGGGCTACAGCCGATCAATGACTCTCTCATCATTGGTGTTTCTACCTCTGTCTCTTCCTCTCCCTTCCTCTCTCTGAAATCAATAGAGATATATTTTTTTTAAAAAGATTAATAAAAATTATTCCTGCTGAAGAAAACTATATTTTAAATTATAAGGAACCAATTTTTAAGAAGATTAGATATAAAAATCATTGTTAAAGCAATCTTTAATAACAGTTTTCTGTCACCACTGACATGCACTAGCCCAGAAGGTAAATCCCTCATTAAGGTGCTTGAAGAAACAGTTGGCTATCTAACTGAGCTAACATATAAATTCAGGAATGTGGAATTACATGGAAATTTAGAAAGTTAATGTGGAATTAACAGTGATATTTTTAATATAATCAATATTCTTCATGTCTTTAGGAACTGGATAATTTCTGTAACCCCATCATTTATAAACCCAAACCAAAAGTAGAGGTTGCAGAAGACAACACAAAAGCTAATAGGGAACACAATGGACAGATGGATGGACAGAGTGGGACTGAAACTAAACCGGATACAACAAAAGACAGCTCACAGCATACCAAATCTTCTGGAGAGATGGAAGTGGACTAAGTCTTAATTTTACCTTCACATAATTCAAACAGTGCAAGTAACCATTGGGGTCCATTCTTCTTTTACATCTGGTACACACAACAGATGTTCAATTGTTCTTAACCACTTTTTGTCATTTGTTTTTTGGAGTAGTTTTGAAAAGTGTTTTATATTGAGTACACATCTATTCATTTCCATTGTTGCTTATGTGAAGCTTTAGCTGAATACAGATTTACAAGTCAGTTTAAGCTTTCCTAATATATTTTATATCACATGCAAGATTGATATGTAGTTGGCAACAGTCTACCTTATTTAAAGCTTCTACTTGGATAAACTTCAGCTCCTTATTCAGGAAAGAATATGTATTGCACTATTGTCGCAGAAGCATAGATATAACTGATCATTATTTTGAAAAATACTGAAATTGATGTGGTCTAAAGTCGCTGAGGCACTGACCTTTTTCTAGTTATTGTATTGTTCTAACTTAAATATTAAAACAAGAGGCTCCTCGACAAATTAGTCCATCTCATTGGTGTGCCATGAGAACTCCAAAGCTTTGCTTCCATCACATACATGAACCAAATCACACGTTGAAAGAAAATGCACAATGTTATGTTAAGGTGACACCAGCAGTTTTCTTCTTTTATTAGTAATATGGATTGATGTTTTCTTAGAGTAATTCAATATCATTTTCATTTGAAACTTCTGATCTACTTGTCCTGAAGACCTGCTGCTGCTAAAGTAATACTAGCCTGAAGAAAAAGAAGCATTTTTGATGAAAATACCTTCATGTTAAGTGGGAAATACTGTTGAACTACTCAGACATGCATCTGTGACATTGATAGCCTTGTTTCAGTTTTAATAGTTGTTTTAGTTTTATTAATTGATACTATTAATATCTTAACACAGGGTAGGGGTAAATGGCACAATGTATTGCATTATGTACATTTATCACTTAAGTACTTAATGTTAAGATATAAACACTATTAAATAAGAGGTAATACTTGAAGCACTTAAGCCCTAAGTCTTAGGAAATAATGCTTGTAATAAACTTAACTATGTTACATATCAACAGGAAAAATATAGAATGTTACATAGTATATTATTACATGATGTGATTAAATTATAGTTCCTGCTGTTATATTACCTGTTCAGACCTTGGCTCCAGTTTTGGTGCTTCTTATATAAATTATATGGGACAAGGGACTGTGAAATTAAGATATTTTAAGGACTTAACCTGTGCTTCATCACCAGACTTGTTCACATTATTCAGTTCTGTCCATAAGCTTGAAACTAACTGGGAGCAGACTGAAATGATTTTAAACCTACAAGAAAAAGAAGCATAGACAGTGCATGGGCTCTTGTATTTAATCCCAATCAACTAGATTGACCTAGTTCTGAAATTTTCAAAGGTTCACTTTTTCCCAAAGCTAAATCTTTACATTGAGAATTACTATTGACTTTTCTTAAGTAGTAAAAATTGAGAGTTTAATATCTTTAGGGATAGTCATTATTTCTCACAACTAGTTCTCTAAGAGATATTTTGTTTCTACAATGTAGTCTGCACTGAAAGGGGAGTGTGGAGGAGGAGTGCATTTTCCAGGGATTTTTATTCATCCTTTTTGAGGGAGATGTCCCTTTTTTGCATTAAAAAAATTCACATATCCTCAATATGTTTTTAATGTCTTTTAGTCTTTAAACTGACTTTGTTTTATACATTTAAAATGAAATGATTATATCCATTAGTAATAAGTGAATGAAGTACAGTATTTTAAAAAGTATGTATCAGTTACTTTTCATTTGTATGTTAAATATATAGGTTCATTTCTGGAAGAACAAAATTATTAAAAGGAATTCATAACAGTACAGGTAAGGAGATTATAGCTTTTTCTTGAGTTAAGAAGAGGACCTCTACCCACTATTTTAGGAGCTTTACCTCAAAAACTTCTTGGAAATAAATGTGGGAACAACCCTTTCTTCATCTGCTTTGTCTAGTATATCCTCACATTTTCCATTCCTTCTCTTAAATCAGTTTTTGTAGTTCTGTGTTTTGGTCAGATATATAACATTTCAGTTATTGCAGTTATATAACACTTAAGTTAAATACATCCAACAATAATATGTATACTTTTTACCTTTTTATTCAACATAAATGATATTTTTAAAAGCTCTTTAACCTTATAGTGTAGTTATTTATTGACTACATTAATGAAAGAGAATGTTCTCCTTAATACATTTGGGGGTAAGTAGTATGGTTTAGTTTAATTTTAATCACTGAAATATGCAGTGCTAGACAAAAAGTTAAAGTTTTCTTCAAAATTAAAAGCCACTATTTTAGACTTTAAAAGATACAAGCAAAATAGACTTTTCCTATAGTAAGAAAATAAGAACTAAGTGTGGGAGATATCTAGGCTGATTAATAAAGATCAGTATACTTTGACCTTTGAAAAAGTATAAATTATTTGGTTTGAAAAACCAACTTTTGATAGTCCATTATACTGTGATTATAAAAACAAAAACTGCTAAATAATGTAACAATAATATAACAAATTTTAATTCCTTAGCAGTATACAGAATTCTTAAGTTTAAAAAAAAACTAGAAACAGCACACCAAAGAATTAGACTATTGGAATAACAGATAATCTCAGTTTTAAAGGGTAATTAGTCTTTTATTAAGAAGAAATAAAGATTTCTTTGACTTTTTGAGCTGTCAATTTTTAGTATGTTCATGATTATATCCTTGATGGAAACTATTTAAAGAGAATTTTGAGGCTCAATTATCAATATAATAAAATGGTAGTGTTAAAGCATTTTACCCAAATAATAGCACATCTTTCACTATTTTGAATTATTCATATTTCAAGACAATAGATATTTGAATATAGTAATGAAATTAGCTTTCAGGTTGACCCAAAACAGATATAGCCATTTCTCCATTTTCATAAATTTGAATTGTAATAATAAGCCTATAAACATTCCCATTAAGATTTTGTTTTAATAGTTGATATTTGGTAGTCCACAAAAATTAAAGCCTTAGTGTTAATTTTACATGTCAGATTTACAAGTCTTTATTAACTAGAGAAATAGAGCTTCATCTTTCTCACCTTTTAGAATTTTACAACAAAAAACTTCAGTTCTAAAGTTAGTGTTATTTTGTGTTTAAACTTTGGAAGTTTTGAGTTTTAAGTGTATTTTGTGATATTTGATTCTGGAAAACTTAGAGGCATATAACTAATTGTATTGCTCTGTCAATATTTAAAACCTGATAGCATAAATTAGCTACTGCTAACTTTTCAAATGACATAGGTAGGGAAACATAAAGTTGTATTCCAATATTTTATTATCCTCTTAATGTGTTTTCTAACTATGAGTGATTTAGCAAGCTAAATCTTCTTAAAGCAGTTGGCCAATTTCAGAATACAGACTTTCTGATCAAAAAAGAAAAACAGGTTTAAAATAACCTTTTGTTTTTTATCAAGGTCTAATTTAAAGTATCATTTTAAAGTAATTCTCAGGTAGCACATAATCTTCTCTTTTGATTAAAAAAAATAACAAAAATTTAATGCAGATCAAAGACCAAGACTTTTAACCAAAAAACCCCCTCCAAACTTTAGCTATTTTACTTTCACATCTATAATTTAAAATACACTAAAATTAATATTCTTCCATGTACTCATATGCTACCTGAGAAAGTGACTTTGGGTTTATAATATGGCCAGATGTCTAAGTTTTTTTATAACTAAATTCAAGGGTAATTGTTTCATGTATAATAAATGGCCACCTGGAATTTTTACAATAACAAACTGCCCAGAAGAAGAAAACCTAAATTTCTATGGCAGTGGTCAGTATCTACATGTGGTAATGGCTGTTTTCATCTGCCAGATCCCTAAGGATACCTCTAGCATATTGTTAGAGTTAGTATTAAAAGAAAAAGCATGTGTGTTAAAATACATTATAAAATGACTTGGAGCTTTCAAGTCAAAGAAAAATAATAATAATTGAATGGTGAACATTTGATTCAGTCTGTCAAATAGGTCAATATCCATAACAACAAAAGAAATTAATAATGATATAATGATCTTTGCTTTGGAATCTCTAATTTGATGTCATGTTCTAGGTCATAGGATAATTATTAGGGAAATGTACTGATACCCAAAAATGACCCAACCTATACAGAGATGAGTGAAAATTCAACATGTTTTAGATAGTTTAATTGCATTACAGTGTGTAAACTATAAATGGAAATGGTCTTCAGTCTTTTCTATTACTTTTATTTCTTTTCTAATCCAGTTCTAGACTCTTAAATAATCATATTTTTCACAAGTCTATTTTCCTTTTTTTATTTTGGATTATTCTTTTGATCTTTTATTCCAAGGATTTTAAAATTTAAATCATTATTTATTTTTCAATTACAGTTGACATACAATATTATATTAATTTCAGACGTATACCCCAATGATTAGACGTTTATATTAACTAAGTGATCATCCTGATAAATCTAGTTCCCATCTCACACCATTCATAGTTATTAGAATATTATTGACTACATCTCATGAATGTTCTATAAAAACCAATTTGTATTTCTTAATCCCTTTACTTTTTTCATCCAACCCCCCTACCATCTAGCAACCATTGAAATGTTCTATCTATGAGTCTGTTTCTGTTCTGCTTCTTTGATTATGCTGTTGTTTTTTAAGATTCATTTGTTGATAGATATGTATTTATTGTCATTTTATTGCTCACATTTTTAATCTCTTTTCTTTTTCTTCTTAAAGAAAACCCTTTAACATTTCATGTAATACTGGTTTGGTGGTGATGAACTACTTTAGTTTTTCCTTGTCTGGGAAGCTCTTTATACGTTCTTCAATTTAAATGATAGCTTTGCCTGGGTAGTCTTGGTTGTAGGTCATTACTTTTCATCACTTTGAATATTTCTTGCTAGTCCCTTCTAGCCTACAAATTTCATGTTGAGAACTAGCTGACAGTCTTATGGGAGCTTCTTTGTAGTAACTAACTGCTTTTGCTGCTTTTAAAATTCTTTAACCATTTGCATTTTAATTATAATGTATCTTGGTGTGGGCCTCTTTGGCTTTATTTTGTATGGGGCTCGCTGTGCTTCCTGAACTTGTATGTCTATTTCCTTCACCAGGTTAAGGAAGTCTTCTGTCACTATTTTTTCAAATAGGCTTTCAATTTCTTGCTCTCTCCTCCTTCCAGCACCCCCATGATGCGAATGTTGGTACTCTTGAAGTTGTCCCAGAGGCTCCTTACACTAGCTGCATTTTTTTTTTTTTTTTAATCTTCTGTTGAAGTCAATTTGATTTCCACGTATAATTTTAGGTTGGGTTCTTTAACTTCGTGTATAAGTAATTGAAGTATATTGTACTTTCTTTTTTCTAAACCCAGTGGTAATCCCTTTTAAGTACCACTGAGAGTCAACTTCGAGAAAGATTGCCATCTCATTTTCTTGATTTAGCAAAGNTTTTTTGCTTCCTTATTTCCAAATCACTGATTTGATTCTCGGCTTCATCTGCACTGTTGATTCCCTGTAAATTATTCATTTCAGTTAGTGTATCCTTCATTTCTGACTGGTTCTTTTTTATGGTTTCCATGTCCATGTTTATGCCATTGAAGTTCTAAGTTCAACTACGCTTCTTCTAATCTTGAAATCTCATAACCAGTGTTTTGAACTCTGCATCTAGTAGATTGCTTGTCTCCATCTTATTTAGGTCTTTTTTCTAGAATTTTATTCTGCTCTTTCATTTGTAATGTGTTTGTCTCCTCATTTTGGAAGCCTCCATGTGTTTGTTTCTATGTATTAGGTAGAGCTACTATGTCTCACAGGCTTGGTAGAGTGGCCTGACGTAGCAGATGTCCTGTAGGGTCCAGTGGCACAACCTCTCCAATCACCCAAGCTGGGCACTCCAGCTGCTCCCCGCCATTCCTCATGTGGGCTGTGTACACCCTTCTGTTTGTAGTTGAACCTTGATTGTTGGCACATTCATAGGAGGGATTTACCTCCAGGCCAATCAACTGCAAAGATTGGCTGTGACCACCAACCTCTGTGGAGGATCAGCTGTGCAGTACCTGTCCCATAGAGCCAGTACTTCAGTGGGGCTCTGGTACCTAATGAGTCCTTCCCTTTAGTGTGTCA